TTAGTTTCCTTCGAGTACACATGGATTGCTAATCAAACTTTGTGTCTAGCCTAAATCTAAACAAAATACTGTAGAACATTTTTAGTTTGGTTCCTAAAGGCTTTTCTATTTTGCCATTTAGCAGTGCACGCTGACAATTTGTCTTTTTCTGTCAATGAAACTAACTATTAATACAATTCTATTTAGATCACAACTAAAAAAGAAACACACCAGATACATAGGTCTGAAAGATTGTTTAACAAATCTGATCCAAAAATACACTGTTATTAGTAATTTGTAAATTAACATTTATTCTATAGATATGTTTAAAAATGTGGAATGTTGTTGTTTGTATTAACCACCTTAAAACTTATAATCAATTATAGATTTTTTAACAAGATACAATTTCGAGTTGTGATGCATGCCCAGATGTCCACACTGACTGCAAAATGCAATTTATTGAGAAACATTTTCTTAAATCCAGTTTCTGTTTCCACAAATAAAAAACATAAATACATTATTAGCATTATATGTATTTGCTGAAATATATTTACAGCATATGTTTTTGGAATTTCTTTATGCTGCATGATGCATAGAAACAAGATTATGAAATTACCTTCACATTGCTCTAAAAGACGAATATCTCTTTCATGAATTTCACTGTCTGATAACTCTCTTTCTACAAAAAAAAAAGAAAAGCTATCATAAATGTTTAACTCGTATATAAAACACATTAATCTAAAACACTAGGCAAACAATGTTTAATGACAAAATATCAATCAAATATCGTTTTATAAACTATTTAGTTATATTTTGAATGAAATCATATCAGCATCATAAAAATAATAATGGTGTAAAACAAAACATTAAGATAACACAGGTCATTTGGCTTATCAAAATCATCTGTTCTCCACATGAAGAATCAGTAAATTCCAAATAAAATTAGCCTTTCACATTCATATAACAAAGTTTTAAAGATTTCCAATTAATAGCACACACATACAACATCAGGCAAATCATTTTCAAGATTATAATTATAATCAAAAATTAATTTTGTCAAAGAACAAGTCTGCATATAGACTTTCAGGACTTAAACATATTATTATAACATTCAAATTTGTAATTCTAGCCTTATAATTCCATCTCTCAAATAAACAGTTACAATCCATCACACTTTTTAAGACACAAATCAATTTTACAGCAGGTTGGCTCACTAAGGATATAAAGTCTAATAAATATAAGAAATATAAATTGACAGCAATGATGGGAGACTTTGAGGATTATAAAACATCAAGAGAGTTGGTCAAATGAGAAAGTAGAAAGTCAAAAAATGTATGAAAAATGTTTGACTGAAAATGTAAGAATAAATAGCAAGTATTTCTTCAAATACATTAATAGAAAGGAAAATGTTATGATGGGGGTAGGACCTATAATGGATGATAGAGAAAGGCTAATATCTGATGATTATTGGATGGCTGGGTTATTAAATTTTGCTTTTTCTTTGGTTTTTACTCATGAAGATTTAAGCAGTATTCCACATTCTGAACAGTTGATAAATGGAAACAATATTAACCAAGATAACCACATTAATCTTTAGCTTCATAAGAAAACATTCAGAAGTTTAAAAAATGATAAAGCTTCCTGAAAAAAGTGATTAAAATTGTCCCAGTAATTATAGGCCTATTAATTTCACATCAGTAGCGGGAATAGTTTTTGAAAGTCTGATAAAAGATGCTTTCCAAAGTCATTTAAGAAAGTTTAAAATTTTGTTGGATAGTCAACATATTTTCATCAAGGAAAAATCTTGCTTTACTAATCTTTTGACATTCTTTTAAGAGGTTACTGCTAACGTAGATGAGGATACGAGTGTGGATTTGGTGTATCTAGATTTCCAGAAAGCATTTGACAATGTCCCACATAAAAGGCTTGTTACAAAAAATTGTTTCTGTAGGTTTTAGGGGTTTAAGTTGGCTTACTGAATAGAATTAGGAAACTGGTTGGATGGAAGAAAGCAGAGCATTGTTATAAATGGAGTTCAGTCAAACTGGATTATTTCATGAGCAAGGCATCTCATGGCTCAGTGTTAAGGCCTCTGCCCTTTCTGATTCACATCAATGGCATAGATGAAGGAATGGTTAACATATTATTTAAATTTGTTGTTGACATTAAAGTTTTGGGTGTTGCTAGCTGAGAGAAGGATGCTACCACTACTTTACAAAAGAATTCTGAATATTTGGTAAGTTGGGCAAATAAATTGCAGATGACTTTTAATTATCATAAATGCAAGGTAATGCATGTAGGATATAATCTGAATTATGAGTATAATTTTTAATTAAACTAACTTTAACAGTGTCATGAAAAAAAAATAGAATGGTGTTCTGGCTCATCAGTCTCATCCAAGCAATGTGCTGTTGCTAGTGGCAAAGCAAGTAGGATTTTTGGTTGTATCTACAAAATATTAAGTACAAGTCTAAAGAGGTTATAATGCCATTATATAGGTCATTGGATACGGAACATTTGGAGTAACGTGTTCAGTTTTAGGTTCTTTACCTTAGAAAGGACACTGAATAGTCAAGAAGGATCCAGAAGAGGGCTACTGAGTTGTCATATGAGGATAGGTTAAGATCTCTGAACTTGTCTTCTTTTGGGGAAAGAAAAGTAAAATGGGATCTGATTAGTGTTTAAGATTATTAAGTGAAATGGCAGTGTTGATGTATCATCTATTTATATATATTTAATGGTGAGAACAGTAAGACTAGGGGACAGAGGTATATATATATATTTTGCCAGGGTAAGAGTTATCTTCAGCTAAGACAGCTTTATTTTTATAAAAGGTTGTTGGCCTTTAGAACAAGTTGTCATCAGACATGGTAGATGCTATTAGTTTAAAGGAAAAGGCTTGAGAAGGGCTGGCTTTGAGTTTTTTAGTGTTTATTTTGATATAAAAAGAATTTAAAGAAAAATTTTCCCACCTTTACAGAAATTTGTTCACTTAAGAATATGTTATTCTCTCTCATCAATAAAATCACCAATTTATTGTTTAGAATTTCAGCTAAGTCTCTTCTTTCCAAAATAAAATCCTTTTAAAAAAATCTCTTATAAAATCAATATTAATTTTAACTTTCCTTTTTGCACCTAAGGTATTTTCCGAGAGACTTTCTACATCTAAATCTCTTTTTTTTTTGGTTTAACCATACTTTTCTTGACTTTTTTCTTCTATATTTCAAAAAACATAAGCATTTTCAATACTAATAATAAATTTTATTTTTTTTGCAAGCTAAGTATTTCCTCATTTACTACTAGTTTAATTCACCTATTATCCATTTCAGAAAAGGCTTTCAGCTAGAATGTATCATTTTGTAAGAATACATTACTTTCCACTATTTTGACCATAGTAATAAGAACATCCCAAGCTCAATTAACATTTTTCCTATTTACATTAACTACACACTTCTCACAAAAAAAGGTAGTTTTTAGAAATCAGTCAGCCTAAAATCAAAGATGTAGATCTTAACTCTACAATTAGTTTTAATAAAAACTTCATCCATCATCACTAGTGCTTGAGTGCTCTTGCATAATTACATTTCTTAGTATATCTTCCTTAGTATTAAAAACACGTCTAAAATGCCATCTTCAGGATCTTAAGTACACTGTGTGGAAAATCAAATCCATAAAATCCTCTTAAAATTTTATATGTATGTTTAACTGAATAATACATATTTCAACAAGTATTTACACTTGAAACCTAAAGTGATACTAATTTTTAAAAAACATCATTCAGTGAAAAATAAGCTGTCTTTATCAGTACAACATAAACGTTGCATACCTTCAGTTACTTTAAACCAGACCATGTACAATTCTATATAGCACTAGAAGTAAGCAGTTTCATGTCACTGCAATCTGTGTACTAGCTTTACTTACCTTTTGTGTGAGATTCCCCTTCTTTAGAATCATCATTAGTTCCAACAAACTCAGTCAAGACTGTTCCATATTTCTTAAGTTTAGAAATTATTCTCCGATAAATCTCAGCATCCTGACGACCTGCTCGAATACTTCCACAGAAGTAAATTTCAAACTTCATTTCCAAAGATTAACTGAAAATATTAAGAAACTCCTAAATCTCCTATAGTTTTTCTACAGCAATCATTCACTTTTCAAAACATACTGTTGTTTATTTAGCATTAGAGGTAGGCAAGTCTGATAACTGATTAACCACTGGTCTCATTAATCAGTTACATTCACAAATCAATTAATTCACTATATAGTATATATATATATATTTTCTCAATCAATTTGACTGACCTTGTACACATCCATAGCTGTGAGACTATATGTACATAACTCTGAATGTACTAAGTGTATTTTTATGAAATTTTGCAAGATATTATTAAACTGTAAGCATTACAAGTGTTGTAAACAAAAAATCTGATTTTCAAATAAAGTATTTGGAATAAAGATATGTTTAAATTTACAAAGCCTTTACTAAGTCTGAGTTAAAGGTGATTTTCATGTTAAAAATCACAACACTTATTTTCATCATACAGTTTTCATATTTCATTTGCATAATCTCAAGAACATACTGAATGAATATCAAATACAGTGAAATTAGAAGTTGAAAAATAGAAATAAAATGAATAATACCATTTTTTTTTCGAGAATGATAGCAGATTGTAACAGACAATTACAAGTATTTATCCTAACAGCCTCAGCTACTAACCTTTTTAACTTCTGCTTTCTTTTAATTTTATGGCTTTATTGCTGTACTTTGGACTCTACTACACATGGAAAGCAAATAAATACAGCAGGAGTCCATTTAGGTGTTTCTGGTAAAGCTTAGGGTAAACAATCAGGTTACAGTCATGCACATACCATGAGCTCACCTTATTCATCAACTCAGCTCATAAAATTCTGAATGTTATTTAAGTTTTGTTTAACCCAAGAAGTTTCTAATTTTTAAATTTCAGTTACTTTTTAATAAATATAAGAGCAATAAATAAGAAATAAAATATACATAAAACTACATTTAGTACTAACATACAATTGAGGCAGTTTTGCATTCAAATACACATTCTTGGTAAGCCCATTGAGTCTATCAAATTTGGGTATTGAAAAAAGAATTCACGTAGCTTTCAAATATGCATTTTAGAACACAAAAAATACATCAATCAGTAAAACAGAAGGTTCCAAAACTACTATAATTTTTCTAGTTTTCAAGGTATGTTATAAATAGGTAAAAAATTCCATTAGCTGTTCAGAGTTGAATAACTTTGATCACAGACAAAGAATCTAGGACTAACTGTCTACAAACGCCCACTAAAAAAGTAACAACTATAACAAGCTTCATGAATAAGAGAATCTGCTATTTCTGTTGGTTTTAAGCATGTCCATCAGTCATTTAATGATTATATATACTACTGTCTTGAAAGGTGGGACAGATGGGTGGGGATTCTCTGTTGGGTTTAACAAGTTTATTGTTATATACATGATACAAAGAATTTAAGATTGAGAATTTTAATATTTCCTTTTGAAATTAAATAATTTAACCTTAGATAATGTGAACATTTGAGTCATAAACTTCGGTTTGAAGCCAAGTTTACCAACATACATTGATACCAAAGTTAATTAAATTTTGAATGTAAAGGTATAAAAGAATGTGACCTAACCATATGTGTAGTGTTAAGCTAAAAAAAACCTTGAATTCGTCAAAAAATAATAGAGAGGAACCGTAACAGCAATATTTTGATTACTTAGATACTTGAAATAATCAAAAACACTAATTCCTATTAGTAGTCATTTTCATGAGATTAATCTATTCAAAAGCAGATTTATTATTCACATGAAGATCAATTGAAATTCCCACTACAAATAATGTTATATACTCATACCATTAACTCATATATTTCAATCTACAAATCTTCTTCTGAATCATACTGTAGAAGCTTGTTGCAAGTAACTCACTATATAATGTTTAAGATGCTGTTCAGTTCTAACCATACGAGGTACTATAAACATGGTACTACCAACTGTGTAAGCCTAAGTGAAGATAACCAAGAAACATATGTTCCTCTAACACATTTTTGAAATTATATTGTTTCCTTTTCAGAATTGTCTAAAATTAAGTCCTTTTCCTTAAAAGAAGCATAGCAAGGAATACTTTTTTTTTTCTTACCAAATCTATTTGCTCAGTTTTGTTGATTTAAATTTTCAGATTGTACATTTCCATGCTTTTCTATTTAATTTGATGGGGCATGTAAAAAAAAATAGCTTACGTGCCTAAGAAAGGCACCTGAAAATATTCATTGTCCTAAAATTAAAGTAAGCAATTATTATTATTACAGATTTAAACTACCATAATTGCACCTACAGCAAATCCAGCATTTTCTATATTTCAATATTGTATTAACGTATACTATGTTTCTGATGCTGTAGAGGTTTTTCCATTGACATGAAAAAGTAATGTAGTTATAGTTTACTCTGCCATAAATTCTCAGCTGGTCTGATGAGTTCTGGTATTGGCCAAAAGGCTTTGTTGGCAATGGATAGTGTGTGTGTGATAAATTATTATATATTCTTCTTTAATTCCACTGATAAGTTCTTAGAATTACTAATGTAGTTTTCTTCTGTTGATGATGTGGTTGCTTGACACAAGACTAGCCTGCTAGTTCACCAGTTCTTCTGAATGATAGTAGAGTTAGTTCAAGGAATAATAATAATAAATAATTGGATTTAGAAATAAATAATATTGTGTTATCAATCCTTAACGTAACTGATTTGAAAATGATTTTTATAAAATTGATCATATCTACACTTCATTTACTTAATCTAGTTCATGAAACTGATGACGTAAATAGTGCCTAGACCACTACATCTATCATGTCCCATCCAGTCTGATGAGCTCTGGTGGCGTTGAACAAAAGGTTTCATCACCACTGGATATGGCAAATGTAGTGTGGTTAACATACTATCACATTTTCTTCTTTGCTCTCACTGTTTAAGTTCTTAAAATATTGGGTATCAAGTGCTTAGGCTTGTCTTTTAAAGAAAAAAAAAAAGACTACTTTGTCTTCTATTCTAATATCTTGTTATCTGATGCTGTAACTCAAATCACTGTTGTGCATAAAGAAAAAGATACACTGAGAAACTTAATAGCCGTAAAGTTTTGGATCAGTATATTTTGCCAAAGGCAAGGTTTATGGCTATTGTGAGGATTTTAAGCTTTATCAAAACTTGTACTGATATGGATTGCTAGAAAGGAATGTTTATTGTCAAATATGGTAGCATTGAATGAAACAGGAAGTTCTGTGATGTCACGTGCATGACCTTTACTGATGAAAGCTATTTTATGGCATGAGTGGTACTGGGGGAATTTATCCAAAAGTTATACAAATGTCATAACAAGGAGTGATTCATTAGGCCATACATCCCAGTTGATATTGTCAAAACAATAAAACTATTATTATCTCACTATACTCTAGGTTTTTTTTTATTATGAATTCCCCATTGGGCTTCAAACTTTGTAAGGTAATGCTATAAATAGCCTGTAACAATTTATCAATGATAAACTGAAACATCTAAGAACATTTTTCAAACAAATGACGATCCAAAAAATTAGTACCAGATAAGCATGTCATAAAAAGTTAAAACTGCCAACTTTATGAACTTATTGCAGTCAAAACTAACATAAATCTATAAAAAAAACATGGTGTAAAACTTTTTACAAAATAACCTACATTCTCAAAGAATAAATTAATAATCTCACACACAAGAATGAAAAAAAAAGTTACATAAGTTGAAAATGTGATTTTGAGAAAAAATATAACAAGTAAATACCCTGGAATACAAAACATCTGAAACACAACCTATTTGTCAGTGAACACAGAATACTGTGTAAAAAGGAGTTTGTCTGAAACAATATCCACATTCAGAAAAAAAATAAATGTTAAAGAAAGAGAAGGCATCAAACATCAAGACAGAAAACTGTATTATTAGTTGGACTATATTATAGAATGATTCAAGTCAGCTAATTATAGAAACCACTATTAAATGGCACACCATCAATGGTACCATCTAGCCTAGCAGTTCTCAATCTGTGATCTCTCTTCAGGTGGTCCAAGGAAAGGTTGCATAATTTTGGAAAGGAAGCAGTAGCACAATTCATCCCATTTTGATCCACTGCGATAAAAAAAAAACTCTGGTGGTCCACAAACAAAAATGTTTGAGAATCACTGTTATAGCATTCAATGGTCCTTCACTGTAGTATCTTACAACACTGTGAACTAATTTATCACAATAATGTATTTAAATATGATAAAAATTCTTACAAAAATACTAACATTTTTACACTTTCAATTTTTTTAAGTTGTTTTGTATAATAATAATAATGTTTCAAATTTGTTGATGCACAACAAATTTGCTTATCCTATTATATACACAATTTGGCAATATTATTTAAAGTATGTAGTGTTAATTTTTTTATAGCATTTATGAAATTTTCAAATGATAAAAGTGTTTTGATGCAAGTTGTGAAGCATATTCCTCGTAAGTTTTTGCAAGTAAAATTATATGAAGTCTTTCTTGTACTTACATAGGCCATTTTACTAGTTTTGAAGACTGAACAATGAAACTGTTGAGGTTACATGCAAACATTCCACACCTGTTTTCACAATGAAAGACTAATTTAGATTTTCATGCTTAGAGGTGTTTAGTAATGCCACAGCAAAGGGTCTCCTGCATCCAGTTATGGAGTTCCATCATAGCAAGTTCATGAGTGTGCAGTACACTGTACAGGAAGCATAGTACTATAATTCCAAATCACTAATCACAATGATGAAACTGGGCAGATGAAACTAATTTTATTATCGCCCCCGCCGCCTTTAATATAACATCAAGTACCAATGTAAATTACTTTTTTTACTACTATTATACACTTGAGCCTGAGGATGTTGGCAAAAGCTTTGGTATGTACAGGCTCTCCTCTGTTCTGAAAAATACCTGTATTGTAATGACTAGTAAATTCACAAAAATATTACTTCACTTTTCAGTTTAACTCTTTAGGCTTATAGAGTATTTAATTTTAAGTTTTTGACGAAAGATTATAAAAGTTCTGAATTTAGATTGTAAAATATCTCTGCTCGCTCCAATATAACATAACAAATAAAATAATTGTAAACTTTTTAACTGAATACTTTACCTTATGAGACAAATTGTTTATGTTTATAAACAGTTTTCGCAAAATGCAACTTAAAATAGTAATTAAGTCTCACTCTATCATTTAAAAAGTGTCACCACTAATGATAATGTGTTCCGCCAAATCTCATCCCCATAGCATGCGCATGCGTGATACATGGGCAATAAGTCTGCCAAATCTCATCCTTCTAAATTATGTCTTATACAAAATATTTTTGGTAATATTAGTGCTATTTCTTTCCTTATTATAGAAATTTTGTGTTGTTTGTTTACTTTTATGAGGGCAACTTTGTTCGTATACTTATTTTAATTCGTAAATACTATAGCTACTTTCACGTAAAGTACTGTTACGTCTCCGTTTGTTAATTAACTTTCCGTAACTTCGTTCCGACGAAACTTTAGCGACACAAGTCCTTACTTAATAAAACTGGTTTATTATTTCCG